ACATCCTTGTCTTGTTCCTGATTTTAGTGTGAAGGATTTCAGTTTTTGACCATTTAGTATAAGATTGGCTGTTGGTTTTTCATAGATGGCTTTTATCAGATTGAGGTAGAGACCTTCTATTCCAATTATTTTTTGTAGAGTTTTTATCATAAATGTGTGTTATATTTTGTCAAATGCTTTTTCTGCATCTATGGAGAGAATCATATGGTTTTTGTCCTTGACTCTATTGATATAGTATATTACATTGATTGATTTGTGTATGTTAAAACATCCTTGCATCCCTGGGATGAATCCCTCTTCGTCAGGGTGTATGATCTTCTTGATGATCTTCTGCATTGTTTTCCAGTATCTTATTAAGGATTTTTGAGTTTATGTTCATCACTGAGATTGGCCTATAGTTCTGTTTTTCGGTTGGGTCTTTCTCTGCTTTGGGAATCAAGGTGATGTTTGCTTCCAGGAATGAATTTGGGATATTGCTTTCCTTTCAATTTTATTGAAGAGTTTAAACAGTAGTGGGAGTAGTTTCTCTCTAAATGTCTTGTAGAATTCAGCAGTAAAGCCATCAGGACCTGGGCTTTTCTTAGGCAGTAAGCTTTTAATTACATTTTCAATTTCATTGGTTGATATTGGGTTGTTCAGAATTTTTAGGTCTTCTTCATTCAACTTTGGTAATTCATACATATTTAGGCTTCTGTCCATTTCTTCTGTGTTTTACATCTTAATGGCGTATGGGTTCTGGAAGTAGGTATTGAGGATCCTCTGGATTTCTGCTGGGTCTGTTGTAATTTCACCCTTTTCATTCCTAATTGCGTGGATTTGGTCTTCTTCTTTCTTTTTCTGATAAGATTGGATAAGGGTTTGTCAATTTTGTTTATTCTTTCCAAGAACCAACTCTTGGCTTCATTAATTTTTTTTATCATTCTTTTAGTCTCCATTGCATTGATTTCTGCTCTGGTCTTTATAATTTCCTCCCTTGTATGAGTTTTGGGTATGTCCTGCTCTTCTTTTTCCAGAAGCTTGAAGTTCAGAATCACGTTGTTTAATTGGGCTCACTGGGTTTTCCTAATGTGTGTATTCACTGCTATGAATTTCCCTTGTAAGACTGCTTTCATTATGTCCCATAAATTCCAATATGTTGTATTGTCATTGTCATTTAATTGAAGGAACTGTCTAATTTCTTCTTTAATTTCCCCTGTGACACATTGGTTATTCAGAAGTGTGTTGTTCAATTTCCATGTGTTTATGTAATTTTTGCAGGTGTTTTTGCTATTGATCACCAATTTCATCACACTACGGTCTGATAACATACAGGTGATAACTTCAATTCCTTTGCACTTAGGTAAACATGTTCTATGAGTGAGCATGTGGTCTATTTTGGAGAATGAACCATATGCAGCTGAAAAGAATATGTATTCTGATTTTGTGGGGTGGAAGACTCTGTAGACATCTGTTAAGTTCATTTGTTCAAGAGTTCAATTGAGTTCTAGTATTTCATTACTTATTTATTGTCTAGTTGATCTATCTATTTGTTACTGTGGGGTATAGATGTCCCCACTACTATTGTATTAGTTCATGTATGACTTTTCATGTCCATTAGTATTTGTTTTATATAGTTGGGTGCACTAGTGTTTGGTGCATAGATACTTATGATTGTCATCTCTTACTGTTGGATTGTTCCCTTCACAAGGATGTAGTGTCCTTCTTTGTCTCTCTTAATCAGTGTTGGTTCAAAATCCACTTTATCTGCAAAGAGGATAGCTACTCCTGCTTTTTTGGGGTTCCTGTCACAAGGAATATTGTTTTCCACCCTTTAACTTTCAGTCTATGAGTTTCTTTTTGAATTAAGTGTGTTTCATATATGTAGCTTATTATTGGATCTTGCTTCTTGAACCATTCCTTCCAGTCTATTTCTTTTGAATGGTGAATTGAGACCATTAACATTGGTGGTTATAACTGATATGTATTGACTTATCATTGTCATGACTTTTTCTTTTTGTTGGATTCTCCCCCTTTGCGTTTAATTTCTTCTCATGAATGATGGATTCATTCTG